GCAGATACCTTATAACAGAATTATCTATCTACCTATCTACTTATCTATATTTATCTATCTATTCCTCCATCTTATCCCTTATAACACTGTTCTTATTCATTTTACTTATCCATGTTCTGTAATTATCTAACACATTACTATTACTTGGAAAAGTTATCTTTCAGATCATTAAAAAATGAGAAAACAGAAGATTTTATTTTACCTTCATGTATTCCTTCTCCTATGTTTTTCCTTTCTTTCTGCAGATCTATATAATTTTACTTCTCTCTGGAGAACTTTTTAAAAAACATTTCTTGCAAGGCACATTTACTGGTAACAAACTCCCTCAGTTTTTTTTTCTGTCTGAGAAAGCCTTTATTGTTTTTCCTTCACTTTTGAAAGATCATCTTGCTGGATAGAGAAATCTAAGTGGGTGGGCTTTTTTCCCTGCTTCTTTGAACACAAATATATTACTCCACTTTCTTCTTGCCTGCATGGATTCTGATGAGAAGTCTGGTGTAATTCTTATCTATGTTCCTATATAGGTAAAGTGTTCATTTTCTCTGGCTGTTTTCAATTTTTTTTCTTTCTCTTTGGTTTTCTGTAGTTTAAATGTTATATGCTTACGTGCAGTTTTTTGGTATTTGTCCTGCTCGGTGTTCTCTAAGCTTCCTGCATCTGTGGTTTGTTGCCAGCCATTAATTTCAGAAAATTCTCAGCTATTCTTACTTCAAATATTTCTTCTCCTTTTTCTCTTTCGGTATTCCAATAAGTTGTACGTTGTACCTTCTGAAATTGTCTCATAGTTCTTGGATATTCTGTTCCATTTTTCAGCCTTTTTTCTTTTTGTATTTCTACTTGGGAAGTTTCTATTGCCAAGTCTTCAAGCTTATAGATTCTTTCTCTAGTTGTTTCCAACCTATCAATGAGCCTATCAAAGGCATTCTTCATTTCTGCTTCAATGTTTCTGATTTCCAGTGTCTCCTTTTGATTCTTTCTTAGAGTTTCTATTTCTCTGCTTACATTAGCCAACCATTCTTGTGTGTTGTCTATTTCTACTAATAGACTCTGCAGTATATTAATCATAGTTATTTTAAATTCTACATCTGATAATTCTAAAACCTGTGTCATATGTGAGCTTGGTTCTTGAGTTTTTGTCTCTTCAGACTGTGAATTTTCTTTTAGCATGTCTTGTAATTTTTTTTTGTTGAAAGCTGGACATGATTTATCAAGTAATAGGAACTGATCCAAACAGGCCATTAGTGTGAGGTTTTATGTTATTCTGGCCAGGAGTTGGGCTGTGCTTGATGTTTGCACTACGAGTAGGTGTCAGAGGTTTCAATTTCTTCTAGTGTCTTTTTGTCTCCTCTGTTTCCTTTGAGTTTCTCTAAGAACTCCTTCAATAGAGTCTGAACCTTGCAGGTGTTTCAGCTATAATCCATATGTGTTATACTGAAGCCTCGTTGATGTGGTGGCAAGGTGTGTGGGAAGGAGAAGCATTCTGTAATCCTATGATTATGTCAGTCTTTTTGTGTGCCTGTATCTCCAGCCCTGTAACCTTCACAAGTGTTTCCTAGCTTATTTTTCTCTCTCTCTTAGGTGAGACAGGAAAGCTAGAAGAGCCTGGAGTTGGATAAGACTTTAATATTGTTTTCCTTGATGGGTCTAGAAAGCTGTGGGTTATCTAGAAAGCTGTGGGTGAACTTCAAAATGATTACTTTTCCCCGCCCCACACCAGAAACAGGAGATTTTTTTTCTTAGCTCTTTGCCTTGAGAACCTGATGAGGTCCCTGGAAGTAAAATTCATGAAAATACTGGGGGGTGGGGGAGTCCTCTAAGACTGTAGCCCTCAGATGTTTGTCCCTCCCACACTAGTCTACACTCTACCTCCAGCAATTTGTCCAAGTTACCATGTAAGTGTTCCTACCAGTTTATGGCTCCAGTGCCTTCTGTTCCTCATAAGCAGATTTGAGAGGTGGTTCTCCATAATCACCTGTCTCTCCAGATTTCAGGGTTGAAGTTTGCCCTGTGACTTCAATTTTCTGATGGGTCTAAGAAAAGTCATTGATTTTTAGTTTGTTCAGCTGTTTTTCTTATCATAAGAAAGGAGTGATGATTTCCAAGCACTTTGCAAGCTGGAGCTGAAACCAGAAGTCTGCAACTGGCATTTTTAATTCAAAACTATGTTTGTGAGTTCATCCATGTTGATACCTGTAATTCTATTTTATTCATTTTCTCTACTGTATAATATTCTATTTACAAACATACCATGCTTTATCTATTCTCCTGCTGATGAACATATGTGTTGTTTACAAACAATGCTACAACAAGCATCCTTGTAACATCTTCTAATGTGCATGTGCAAGAGTTTCTCTAGGATAGATACCTAGGAATGAGATTGCTGACTTATAGTATATGATTATCTTCAGTTTTACCAGATATTGCCACAATGTTTGTGAAAGTAGTTGTACTCATTTATATTCCCCCAGCAGTATATTAGAGTTCTTATTTTTCCATATGTTCACCAATACTTGGCACTGTAAGGCCTTTAAATATATGCCAACATCCTGGGTTTTAAATGGTACATATTACTATGGTTTTATTTTGCATTTCCTTAATTACTAATGAGACTTCTTAAGTTTATGGACCATTCATGTTTTCACCTCTGTGAATTGCCTGTTTATATCTTCTGCCCATTTTTGTTGGTTTGTTTGTGTTTTTCTTATTGATTTGTAGGGAAGGATTTCCTTAAAATGACTCAAAAAACGCAAACTATCTAATGAAATACTGATAATTTGATAACATTAAAATGAAAGACTTCTGTTCAACAAAAGATATCAGAAACAATGTTAAAAAGATAAGCCACCCACTAGGAGAAGATATTTGCTAAATAAACAGCAAGGACTTATATCCAGAAAAAAACAAACAAATAATGGGCAAAGGAACAGAACAGGTAACTCAGAGGGCTTCTGAAAGACTAATAAATGTATGAATACATGCATAACTTCACTAGAAATCAGGAACAGGCAAAGTAAAACAATGAGATAACTTTTCAAACATATTAGACTAGCAAAATAGAGTCTAATACTCCAAAGTCTTGGCAAGGACATGAAGGGGATCTCTGAAACCCTGCTCACTGGGAGTTGAAGATATACATACCATATATCACAGTAATTTTGCTCCTAGGTATATAACTTAGTAAAATGTCACTCTCAGACCAGCAGCATCACCATCTCCTGGGAACTTGGTGGAAATGCAAATTCCCAGGCCCCACTCCAGATCTACTGAGTCGAAAATTCTGGGGGTGAAGCTCAGAAATCTGTGTTTTAATAAGCCCTCCAGGTTATTCTGATGCACACTAACATTTAAGAACTACTGCAACAGAGTGACACTTTTTCAACTTTTTTGACTGAGATCTACGTGAAGAATTGCATTTTACACTGTGGCCCTCACATGTATCTTACACACAAAAATGAGACAAAGCTTTAAAAAACAGGACTTGCCCTAACTGTATAAAATACACTTTGATATTTTTTATTCTATTATTTCATTTCATTAAAAAACACTGATGGTTCTGACCTACTAATTATAACCTAAGTTTGAAAAACACTGTCCTGGAGAAACTCTTAAATATGTGCAACAAAAGATATGTACAATAATGTTTGCTGCAGAATTATCTGTAATAGCAAAATAATGGAAAGGACAAATCTTCAGGAAAATGGATTAATGAATTATGGCATACTTCTACATAGTATTCTACAATGGAATACTATATAGTTCCTTTTATCACTAGAAATAAGTTTCAAAAATATTATGTATATTGAGTCAAAAAAAGCAAGTTGTAGGATATGTTGAGTATGATATTGTTTATATAGTCTTTAACGGTGTAAAACTATATGTTGTTCATGAATCTATAGATAAAAATACAAAAATGCACATGGTAATGGTAAATACCAAATACAGGACACTAGTTACATCTGAAAAGGAGAAATAAGAATGGGATTCCTGAGGGATACACGGAAGTCTTCTCATAAATCTATAATGCTTTATTTTTTAAAATTAAGCAAATGTGGAAATTATTAAGAATTCATAAAGATGGCTGGCTGCATACCAAGGTGTTTGCTATATTATTTTATATAACTTTTGGTTTGCTAGTAATATTTCACAATAAAAAGTAAATAAAATCAGGCTACCCTTGAACTAATAGCAAGAATATATTAAAAATTCAATCACCCAAACTGCTTTGATGTCCCTCATTCACAATGGCTTTTTAGGGACAGTCAAAAACTTTTTTTTTTTTTGGTTTTGTTTTTTATTTTGTTGATGAGACATAACAAATATATGCTCCAGGGGTTTGTGCTGCCTCTTTGGGTGACATGGTAATGAAAAGTTTTCCATTGCAGATGTAACGTATAGCATGATTACAAAATGATGATTTGATCAATAAAACAAAGATTATTTACAACACTACTTAGTTACATGTTTGCCAATTTCAGAAAGCTTAGAGGACCTGTTTTCACTTTGTTGCTTTGCTACAGCAACTTAAATCATATGTCATATGAAAGCCAGGTGTAGCATTCTGAAGAGAAAACTCACGTGCTAACAATAAACCCTACTTACAACCAGGCAGCCAATTATTTATTGACTAATTCCAGAGGCACTGTGGCTACCAACCATGGCGGTCCTATAAATATTGCTTGATTATTATTAGCCTAGAAAATTGGGGGTTACTTTCCCTTCAATTCGAGGCTTCCAGTGGGTATGAACTAGAGTCTCATCACGATTATTTTTTTAATTCTAAGGGTAGTTTAGAATCTTAGAAAAGCACAAAGAACATCATAGGAAATACGCTACTTATATATTACGCAGAGAGTAAATAGTAAAGGTCAAGGACAAACACAATTACTGTGCCTATGTCATGATTCTTTGTTATAATCAGAGCTAATTTAAAAGTATTACTTTAGATAGAGGTAAATAAAAATGAAAACAACCCATGTTGTTTTTCTTGGTTTGTCCTATACCTTGTTTGGCTCCCCTGGATTATATGAAGAAAACATAGGAATTTTTCGGATCTCTTCCTCTGACAAACGATTTCTCTGGATCTCATCTTCTGGGACAAATTCTATTGGCTGCGTCAGCTTCTTAGGCCCAGTCCAACACTGCTCAGGTGAAAAATCAATAACTTTTGCCACATGGAGACTGGGACCTTTACCCTGTGCTGCCTGTTTTCCCTTGTCCTGGAGTAATGACGGGTTCTCAGCTGTGCCACTATCACCCACTGATGTAGCTGAGACCAGTGAGTGGGAAGCAAAGGGTTCACCTCTCATAAGTTGCAACTCTTCAAGACGTTTTTTCATTATCATCTCTTGGTAAAAACCTTCCAGGTTGTTCATGGGATCACCTTTGTTCTTCTTTTGGGGTTCATCTGGATCAAGACAAAGAGATAGGGAAGTTCTACAAAGCCTACCAATACAACCTTTGACAAATTAATAAAAATTAAATCCTAGATCTCAAATATAGAAACTGCTGGGGCAAGTATTTACAACCCGTGACAAATGACAATAGTATATAGCTATCTTATTACAGTTTATCTCAAGCAAGGCTGGAACTATGGTGAGGCAAGTGAGGTCGAATACTCTCAGGGTCATACAAGTATATACACCTCTAACTGGTTTTAAAAATATAACCAGTATAGCATTATCACTCTTTGCAAACTTAATAATAATTCTTTAGTATCATCTAATAATGAGTTCACATTCAAATTGCTCTGATTATTTCAAAGATTTTATTTTTACACTTGGTTATTCAATTCAGGATCTAAACCAGTCCTTGGCTGTTATATCTCTTGTCTCTTTTATTCTGAGAGCCCCTTCCATCCCACCCCTCCAGTTCATTTTCTCCCCTACCTACTGATTATAGAAACCACATTTGTTCTATGAACAAATGAATTTGATGGAGTGTTTCCTGATGGTGGTGCTTAACTTGTTCTTCAATCCCCTATATTTCTTGGCAGTTAAATTTAGAACTATCCTAATACAGTAGCCACTAGCCACATGTCTAAATTAATTTTTTAATATCAGTTTCTCAGTCAAACATCACATTTCAAGTGCTCAACAGCCACATGTGGCTAGTGGATACCATATTGAACAGAACAGAAAAAGACCATTTACATCAATGCAGATCAATATTAGATAGTACTGATCTGAGGGTTGATTAGATTCAGGTTCAATATTTTTAGGAAAGAATCCATAGATAGGTGTGTACTTCCTATTGCATCATTCATAAGGCACATAATATGTGGTGGTCCCCTTTTCAGTGATGCTAAAATTGATCAGTGGATTCAGGTGGTGTTAGTCTCATCCCTCCATTATTAAGTTCTCCCATTCACATTTCACCTAATGGGTTTTATATACATTGATGACCATTGCCTAGATTTATTAATTTATTAAGTTATGCAAAATGGGGCTTTTCTAATTCTGTTATTCCTTTTGTATTTATTATCTGGAATTCTATAATGAACTTACTGTCATCAACTATTTCATTTCCCTATATATAGTTCATACAGGAAAGGCAGGATAAATGCTTAATTCTTTCCCATTATTTAACAATTATGACAGTAATGAGTTGGTACTTTAGAAATGTCCAATGGTGTCCAATGGTTATTTTTAGTATAATTATGAGATTATGTATTTTCATATACTTAATGTGTTTCAATTAAATGTAGTCATTCTTTTTAGTGGTCAAATTATCCAACTTAGGGCCAGTGGGACCCCTTCAAATCAGTTCCTGTATTACTTCCCAGTTTTCTGGCACAGCAAGATATCCCAAGCACATTTTCCTCATCTTGCACGTTTCCTGACCCAAACCTGGACTATTTCTTGAAAGACCCCTGATTCCTTTCAGTGGGAAGTGGTATTTAGAAACCCCAGTGTGTTGCTAGGTATGTTCACTGCTGTTGAAATGTTGCTTCTAGGCCTTTTTAGTGGACAAAGCAAGGACATTTTCTATGAGAGAAAGAAATCATGAGTTTATATTGGTATTTCCAATTCAAAGGTAACATTGTAAAGTTTTTACTTAAACTCCTTGATTTTTGACTTCTATCTCTTGTCATATATTTAATATATTGGCTCCTAATAATATTAACAAAATTATTTATAAACTTCTTCTTACAATATACTTATAGAATTTTAAAATGTTAATAAAAATACTAATATGACAATCAACAATATAACTGCTGGATACAGTTTTATACTTCTCCGTAGTTACTTTTGCCCTTAGAATATATCCTGTCAGGAATATACAAATATTATTTTTAAGTTACTATAAGTAATTGTTTTCTCTGTGTGGTTATTCTACCAACTTTATTTACTGCTAGGTTCATTTGCTTCAAGTTGTTTTTGAATTTAGGAATTAATTTTTTTTGTTTTACTTTTTTGATTAATTTTTTTAATTATGCAAAACATTTACATGGATGGATCTAAAGTAAAAACTATTATATGGTACCTTCACCGAACTCACTTCCATCTCTGTTCCCTTCGTCCCATTCCCTTCTTTCCCCTAAAATTTATTCCCTTCATTCCCCTTAAAAAAATATATTAGGTTTTCGCTTATGGTTCCATTGTTTCTTTTTTGAAAATATAAGCAAACAGGCACACACACACACACACACACACACACACACACACACACACATGCACAATTCATTAGTTATACCCCTCTCCTGCATAAAAGGTAACTTACTGTAAATATTGTTCTACAACTTACTTTTTTTATACTTAATATTTCCTGGAGATAATTCCATATTAATGTGTAGAGCTCTTCCCCTTCCTTATTATAGCTGCACAGTACTCCAACTATTTCCCTACTGATACACATTGGTCTTATATCCAGTCTTATGGAGTTACAAATAACGCCCTGACAAATAGCCTTATTTTGTATTTGAAATACAAAATAGGATCTGGTATTTTTCCAGTGTATCTTTGAAATAGATTCTAAGTGGAATTGCTGAGACAAAGGGTAAATTTGTGTATGTAATTCTTCTATATATTGTCAAATTTCACTCTGTAAGAGTTGTACTATTCTGTATTTCCACCAGCAAGGCACAAGAGTATTTATGGAAGTATTTCTTAAGACACAAGAAAGACTAACCATTAAGGAAAATATTGATAAATTCAACTACATTAAAATTAAGAACTTCTGATCATCAAAAATGTCATAAAGGGATGGAAAAGAAAAGTCACAGAGTGAGAAGAGACATTTACTACACAAATAACTGCTAGAGAACTTGAATCAAGAATATATAAACAGCCTGGAGGGGAGAGCACCAGCCTGCCCTGTGCACCGAACCACACTGAGGTGAGCCCAGCAGCAGCGACCCCAACCCCCTCCTTGGACCTGGAGGGGAGAGCCGGGCCCGCCCCGTGCCCCGAACTGCGTTGAGGTGAGCTCAACAGCAGTGGCAGACCACACGGCTAGAGGCGGCTCCTCCCCTCCCCTTGGACCTGGAGGGAGCACCAGTCTGCGAGGTATGACCTGCCAAGGTGTGCCCAGCAGAACTTCATGGTGCGAGGGGCTCATTCTACAACCACAGATTCTGGAATAGGACCCAAGGTGTTTTAACATAACCACCACCAAACCTACTGTCAAGCAAAGACAATTCACCTCCACAGTAGCAACTAAGGCGACTCCACACCCAACCTCAGTGTAACAGAAGAAGCAAATCCTCTACCATATGACCAAACATCAACGAAAAAATACTAGAAGTACAAACAAACAAGAAGAAATGACACCACCAAAAGAATATAGTAATGCTCCAAAGTCAGACTTCATGGAACAGGGAAACCTTCAAATGTCTGAAAAAGAATTTTGAGCAATGATCTTAAGAAAACTTGAAGAAATAAAGGAAGACTCAACTAGAGAACACGATGAAACAAGAAAAAATATCCAGAATATGAAGGAGGAAATCTACAGATTAATACTTTAAAAAAGAGTGTAGCAGAACTTCTAGAAATGAAAGATTCACTCAGTGAAATAAAAAACACAACTGAGAGCTTGACCAGCAGGGTAGAGCAAGCAGAAGAAATAATTTCAGAGCTTGAAGATGGTCTTTTTGAAATAACTCACACAGACAAGAAAAAGGAAAAAAGAATTAAAAATAATGAGGAAAATCTAAGAGAGATAGCAGACAACCTCAAGTGCTCTAACGTCTGAATGGTAGGTATTCCTGAAGGGGAGGAGAAAGGAAAGGTATTGAAAACCCACTCAAGGAAATAGTAACAGAAAATATTCCAGGTGTAGGGTAAGATACAGACCTTCAGATCCAGGAAGCTCAAAGGCCCAAAAAGATCCTTTACAAGACACATTATAGTTAAGTTTGCAAAGCTCAGAGACAAAAAGAGAATTCTACAAGCAGCAAGAGAAAAGCGTCAGGTCACTAACAGGGGAACCCCCATCAAACTAACAGCAGACTTCTCAACTGAAACCCTACAGGCCAGAAGTAGAATGATATATTCAAAATACTAAAAGAAAAAAAAATGCCAGCCAAGAATTCTTTACCCAGCAAGGCTCTCGTTCAGAAAGAGAAATAGTGTATTGACCAGATAAACAAAAGTTGTGGGAGTTCACCACCATATGACCAGCCCTGCAAGAAATTCTCAAGGGAGTCATTCATCTGGAATCTGAATAATGGTGACCACTATCACAAATAAACAAGAAAGAGCAGAACCCACTGTTAAAACAAAAATGCCAGCAAGAAATAGAAAGAAGCTAACTCATCCCACCTTAAATTCCCAACTAACAATGAAGAAGAGAAATAAAAGGGGAAATAATGATCAAAAGATATTTAAACCATCTAAACAGGAATTAAATGACAGGAATTAAGCAATACTTGTCAATAACTACCCTAAATGTGAATGGACTAAACTCCCCATTCAAAACACACAGACTGACTAATTGGATTAAAAAGCTAGACCCAAGTATATGCTGTCTTCAAGAACCCACCTCACCTGTAGAAATACAAAGACTAAAAGTGAAAGGATGGAAAAAGATATACCATGCAAACGGAAACCAAAAACGAGCAGGAGTAGCTATTCTTATATCAGACAAAATAGATTTTAAAACCAAAACATAAAAAAAGACAAAGAAGGCCACTATATAATGATAAAGGGATCTATCCAGCTAGAAGACATAACAATCAAATATTTATACACCCAATACAGGAGCACCCAGATATATAAAGCAAACACTCTCAGACCTAAAGAAAGAAATAGGACCTAATACATTACTAGTGGGTGATATGAACACCCTGCTCTCAGTAAGGGACAGATCTTCCAGGCAACAAGTCAACAAAGAGACACAGGATTTAATCTATACCCTAGACCAACTGGACTTGGCAGATATATACAGAACATTTCACCCAACAACTAA